CCGCTTGTAGTATAAAGCAGCTGTATAGAAAATTAGGCTAAGCGTGGTAGCAAAGGCTACGTAGTCTTGGTGGTTCTTGTATTTCTGTTCACAATAAAAACGGTAATGAGCCACCTCCGTTCTCAGTGTTTAAAGTGCAATTTACCATTTTCTCTTGCCAAGTTTGTTATATGTTGCTTGCAATTTTTTATTGACCAGCTCGCCATGATGCTCGTTTGTCTGTTGCTGTTGATAACACAATTTTTACAGACAACCACTATTTTCCTTATCCTTCACCCCAAAACGTTTTATGACCACGACACACAAAAATTTTAGAAAAGTGCGAATACTCAACGAAATATCATCGTATGGCGATATAATCACCGAGAAAAGAGACAACAATTTATACATCACCACATTTACTGCAACATCGTACACTACGTTTGATATCAAACACCTGAACACGGTGTTTGTGGGCCCATTATTCACACACATTTCGTGCTATGACAAGTACTTGAATCGGTTGGTGGTGTGTACTGATAACAATATTTGTGTGTGTGACCGCGGGAGTGTTGAGAGTAGCGTTGGTTATGGGGATCTGTGCGTACAATGTGTGCGAATGGTGGTGTGTTTTGAGGAATGTGCGGTGATATTGACGGATAAAAGCGAAGTAATCACGGTAGGATATGATCTGAGCATCAGAAATAGGATTGTAATGGAGGGTGCATACCTGGTGCGAAGAGTGGGTGTGAGGAACAAATTGGTGGTAGTATGCAGGGATAGAATAGTGCTGTACCGTATTGATAGCGGACAGGAGGTGTGTGTGTATAATGTGCAGCACAAGATAACGAGCATGTTCGTGAGCGGTTACACGTCCTTGATTGGTACGAAGACAGGTCTTGTCGCATTGCTATGTCTTAAAACAGGCGAATTTATTCATGTGGTGCAATTCGATGTGCCGATATGGGACGTGTCGGCGAATCTTACTGATGGATTAGTGAGCGTGTGTGATGTAAAGAGAGTCTTGCATGTATATGATCTAAGGAATGGTGTGGTGGTCGACAGGATGGTAGATGTGTGCAGAGTGGCATATTTAGATGGATACTGGGTGGTAACGCGGATTAATAATGGAAAATATCGGAAAGGCTGTGTAGAAGGAAATAATCAGGTGATATCGACAGATCGCGATCCTGGGACGGAAGTTCATGGCCAGGCAGTTGCAAAGAATCGCAATTCGGTAACAGAAATTGCGAACAAAGCCGATGAAAAGACTTTTTCAGTAAACGGTGAGAAGGGACGGATCGGGAAGGAATACATCGAAAATGATCATCAAAGTTCTAGTAGAGACACAATGGAGGATCTAAAAGCAAGAAATATATCGATAACGGGTACTTGTTCCGATGAATCCCCGGTTGTGGCGGAGATAAGACGGTCTACTGATTTATCTAAAATTGATTTGGAGCTTTACAGACTGGAGAATTACAAATTAACGTTAAAGAAATGCAGAAGAACCTTTGGTGAAAAAATAATTGGTATAGGCAACCACACAAGACGGAATCTGGTGTTGATTGGTGATAGAAGTGCATTTAATTTAGGATATTTCAGGGACGAGCAGTCATTTAAATTCAAGATGCTCAATATGACAAGTGGTTGGACGGCAAAGAATAAAATACGATACTACGACATAAAGGATCGGATCGTGGTGGGCGCAGAGTTCAGTATAAGCGAACTTGATCATACCAACAAAAGAGATGTAAGCGTTTTTAAAACGTATAACGAGCGAATAGCGTGCATGGCACTTTCCGAGTGCAGTAATTTTGTTATATTCTCGTTGGGAAGCGTTGCAATCTGTATGAACCTGAAGAGCGCACTAATATACAAACGAATTTGCTTAGAGAACGTAGTAGGTGTAGCTATGACCCTGCTCAGAGATAGAATACTGCTTTACGATGACAAAACAGTGCATTTTTATAGGATCAATGGACAGAAACTAAGTGAAATGGTGGTAGATGGCATCAATTTTATGAAAATGATGCTGGTAGAGAACATGCTGGTCATGATATATGCGAAGCAGGTGGTATTTATTGATATTGACAGACATTCGATAGTCAATGAGATTACATTCAAGAATGAAATAAAGGACGTGACCGTTTCTAATGATTTTAGGAAGTTGGGGGTCGTCTTTGAAAACTACGCGGCAGTGTACGAATTGGGCAGTAATACACTGATAGACACTTTCACAGGAGAGCATGATAAGATATTGTTCTCTTTACACAACGAATTTGTAGTTCTCACGAATTATAGTACGGTCGAATTGTATGCCGATGAAAACTGGTTCTACAACAACAGAGAAGTGAATGAAGTATTCGAAAGTACAACAAACCACAGTACGGGAGTTGATAACGAGTTGATTGCAGAAAAGAAAAATGAGTTGATGGTTGAGTTGCTGAGTTATCTTGAATTTGAAAGGAGGAAGAATTAACGGCACTGTTGCAGCTGTAGCTTTTATGGTATTAAATTACATCCATGAGTGACGGGTGATAATAAAGTATGAAATTTTATTTTGTCGGTTTGATTTGTTTTAAAGTATTATAAGCTGACAATCACCCTTTTGTGAAACTCTGCATCAAGGTTACAAATGTGTTGGGTAAGAACCATTTTAGAAAATTTATTGTGAATTACCATGTTAAACGACTAAATGTCAGGAAAAAGAGTTCTAAATGGGTATGATCCTGGTGTATTTCGACTGCATGATTTTTAAACACCGTCACCAAGGGCTTAAAAAGTAAAACTATAATGGTGAAGCGTAAAGATTAATGTCGCCCTATTACTGGAGAAGTTTTCTCTTGTTGCTTACGAGAAACCTGTGACTAATCGGTAATTAATTTTGGGCATCATCACGTTCAACAAGCTAGCACATCAGAACACGTATTAAATCTTCGCTTTTTTTGAGTTTTATTCCATTTGTTTTCCTATGTTTCTATGGGAAATGTATTATTGGAGAATGTACAGAAAGTTTTATACATCGAATAGAAAAACTTTTAGCTGCATTACTAGAGCAGATCTTTTTATACCGGTTGCCCAATAAACAGCGAAAATCTTGGAGTGCAATTATCTTAAGATCAAAGTAAAATTTCATTTTTCGTTTCAATTTTAAGAATAAGTCTTTGACATTATTAGCGAGTCTAAAAGAAAACATAAGAGAGAACACATATTAAACGTTATTGTAAACTTATTTCATCTCTGTGCTATCATTTTTTTATGAAATTTATGTTGCTCCTTCACCTGCCGTGGCTGAGTAAACTTAAGTTCGAGGGGATGCTCACCTGTCATCATATAATTATTTAGACAACTTAAATGTTCAAGTAGTATTTTCGATGACATACTATGAATTGTACGTAATGTTAGTCTTTTTAAGAATAATTTGATTTGAAACCAACGAGAGAACATTATTCCGTCTGTACACTTCATTATTATATTTTGAATCTTCGCTGTATTTTTGAGAGTTAAGAACGACACTATTCGTCGTGTAAAACATTTTTCTTTCAAACTATTTTCATACATCCTTAGCTTGACTGTCCTCACAACTTTCGTCATTCGTACTCCAGGTTCTTTGTCTCATCATCAATTTCACAATCATCTTGAACCAACACCTTTCTAAAAAATCAATTGTTCTGTTTGTAGGACAAAATAGTTATCACGTACAATGTGAAACAGCCGAGCACTATGCTGGTGAGCTCAACCAGATTTGTGCAAATTGTTTGGCAATGCACTTTAAAGACGAGGCTCACCGTAGACGCATGTACAAGAGCTGCTGTCACTTTGGCAAGCTGGCCTACATACCACGAGATAGCTATCCAGAGTATCTCAGATCGCTGTTCACCGATACAGCAAGCAGCGATCATAAAAACTTCAAGGCCAACATACGGTCGTATAACAGTGCCCTGTCGTTTGCGTCAATGGGTGCAAATGTGGAGCAGTTCACACGAGGGGTGTACTTCTTCAAGGTGCATGGTCAGGTCTACCATAACACATACAACATAAACCCGCTTGAGAACACTAACAGGAGATACTCACAGTTGTATGTGATTGATACAAACGATGCCACAGATCTGAGATCGAGAAATCCTGCAAATGAGAAGTGTGACAGAGCAATACTACACAATCTTGACAGGACAATAAGAGAAGTCAACCCGTATGCAAAATCTTGCTGAGGTTGAGAGGAGTGCAATGCGTGAAGGAAACATGTTGATGGTAAATGTGGAGTCAAACAAGAACATTCATCGTGACATGAACAGGTACAATGTTCCTACAACGGGCGAGA